TCCTATGCTGCTATCAGTAAATAAAGCCAGGAGCCATAAACCAAATACAACTTTGTAGGAAGTTTGTGGTCCTTCCCACTACCAAAGAGACTCTAGAGACACAAACTCAACTTGTTCTCTTGTTCTTCCTTATCTGAAAAGCTTTTTGGTTTTTTGTTTTGTTTTGCTTTGTTTTTAGATGGGAGTCTTACTCTGTCTCCTGGGCTGGAGTGCAGTGGCGCAATCTTGGCTCACTGCAACCTCCGCCTCCCGGGGTCAAGCAAGTCCCTGTCTCGGCCTCCCGAGTAGCTGGGATTACAGGCGCCTGCCACCACACCTGACTAATTTTTGTATTTTTAGTAGAGACGGGGTTTCACCATCTTGGCCAGCCTGGTCTTGAACTCCCGACCTCGTGATCCACCTGCCTCAGCCTCCCAAAGTGCTGGAATTACAGGTGTGAGCCACTGCGCCCGGTGATCTGAACAATTTTAGGATTAAAGCATTCAAAAATGGTTTTAAACACAACTTTGAAAAAGGATGAAGAACTCCGATTTCTTGGGGACCCAACGCCTTTGCTACTCGGGCCCACCCTACTTTTCTTTTTTATTTTACAATTTTTAATTTTTGTGGCTACATAGTAGGTAGCAGGTGCATATATTTCCGGGGTACAAGAGATGTTTTGGTACAGGCATGCAATGTGAAATAATCACATCATGCAAAATGGGTTAGCCATCCCCCTCAAGCATTTATCCTTTGTGTTACAAACAATCCAATCATACTATTAGTTATTTTAAATGTACAATTAAGTTATTATTGACTATAATTACCCTGTTGTGCTATCAACTACTAGGTCTTATTAATTCATTCTATTTTTTTATACCCATTAACCATCCCTACCTCCCTCCCACGCCCTACTACCCTTCCCAGCCTCCAATAACCATCTACTCTCTGTCTCTGGGCCCCACCCTATTTTGTTTTTCTTTCGAGACAGAGTCCCGCTCTGTCACCCAGGCTGGAGTACAGTGGCACGATGTCAGCTCACTGTACCCTCCGCTTCCTGGGTTCAAGCGATACCATGCCTCAGCCTCCCAAGTAGCTAGGATTATAAGCGTGTGCCACTGGGCCCAGCTAATGTTTGTATTTTTAGTAAAGATAGGGTTTCACCATGTTGGCCAGACTGGTCTCAAACTCCTGACCTCAAGTGATCCACCTGCCTTGGCCTCCCAAAGTGCTGGGATCCTGGGCACGGTGGCGCAGAAGTTGCAGTGAGCCGAGACTGCGCCACTGCACTCCAGCCTGGACAACAGAGTGAGACTTCATTTAAAAAGAAAGAAAGAAAAGAAAGGATTTGAAAGAAAGAAAAAGAAAAATCAAAGTGCTGTGATTATAGGCATGAGCCATCGTGTCCGGCCCCTCACCCTACTGTGAACCCCTGAGGGAGGTTATCCTGAACTTCCAGTTTGTACCTCTACATTCTCATGCTCCAGGGCAGGGGATGAAGATATGCAGATGGAAGGACATGAAGAAATGCCATCTTATGGCAAAGCAATTCCCTCCTTCCTAGGGAACAAGGGCCAAAGGAGTTTAATTCAGTAAATAATGTACACTACTCAAGTGACTGGGACACGATAAACTGAGATTTCACCACTATACAATTCATCCATGTAACCCAAAACCACTTGTACCCCAAAAGCTATTAAAATAAAAAATAAAAAAATTTAAATAACAGTATGTATCTGTAGAATGCACTGGAAAACTCAATGGGCCTCAGGAAACATGCTTTACAGTTCCATTATCTCAAACTTCTCCACCAATACATTTCTTTAATACAACTCATCAGTGATTTATGAGCACTCAACCCAGCGTATCTGCTCCCAGCATGATGCGATTGGGAAACAATGGTCAGAGACCTACTGTACACAAAAACCCTAAGGAGGGGTAGGATGACAATACAGTCACCTCCTGCACCAGGCAGCACTGAGAGAGGTACCCATAACCTGGACCCAGGCCTTGCTCTCAAGCTAATGATCCAATAGAGGAAATGCATCAGCTTGAGCACTTGTGTGTCAGGCCTGCTTTACAGACATTAATTCCTTCATCCTCAAGACAGTACTCTGTCTCCCAGCATTGTTCTTCAGCAACTCCCGCCCCCTTATTTGTATGTGTGTGTGTGTGTGTGTGTGTGTGAAACAAGAGTCTCACTCTTTTGCCCAGGCTGGTGTGCATTGCCCATCATGGCTCATTGCAGCCTCAACCTCCAGGGCTCAAGTGATCCTCCCACCTCAGTCTCCTGAGTAGCTGGGATTACAGGCATGTGTACATGTGTACAGGCTACTCATGTGAACACCCAACTGTTTTGTTTTGTTTTTTTTTTTCCTAGAGATAGGGTCTCATTTTGTTGCCCCAGCTGGTCTTGAACTCCTAGGCTCAATTGATCCTTCTGCCTCAGCCTCCCAAAATGCTGAGATTACAGGTGAGCCACTGCATCCAGCAAGTGTGATATACTTCACAACTGCTTCTAAAGCCCATTTTAAATGGGAGAAAACTGAAGCTCACAGATGTCAAATAACTTCCCCAAAATTACACAGTAAGAAGAGAGTGCTGACATTCATACCCAGGCAGTCTGGACCTCAATCTACTCAGCTTTAGTAACAGCAATGGCCAGCAGAGTCCGGCATACAGTAGATACCCAATGAGCATCTGCCTAGAGGAGCATGAAGGTTAATATAATACAGGCAGAGGAAGAGTGCTTGGCTGGAGGTACTGCAGGCACAGACAGGAGGAAGTTCATTAATTCTCACTGAGAGAACCTAGAGGAAGTGAATTCCTGAAGGAAAAATGGGAGAAGGGAGTATTTCAGTCTGAGGGGGACACAGGATCTGTGTGACAGTAATGCTGTCCGACATTATGGTAGAGATCTGGTGATTCTATCTGCTGGTTAAAGGTTTTTAAGTAGACTGAAACAAGCACTTGCTCATTTGTTATACTATGTGTATCAGACAAGCACTAAAATGAACAGATTTGGTAATTTCTATTCAGAGGTAATTAAAAGGAAAGAAAGAAGGCATCACTGGGGGGTAATGGGAACATGCACAGGATTTCAATATCGGAAGAACCTGTTGCTAGACGAAACCACCAGCGGTATTTCCCTGCTGTCTTTTACAACAGCTCCCAGGAAAACCACTTGCCAACTCATATCCCCCAACTGTGCAACACAAAATTGTTGAACAGCCTAAACATCTCAGGTCCTTCTGTCTTGCAGCCTTCACAGCAGCCAGCCCAAGCTTAGGAATAATGGCTGACTCTCTAGAAAAGCAGGTTAAGTCTCATTAGGAATGGGTCCCAAATGCTAAGGGCCTGGGTAACCAAGAATGATCAGTATCCAGGACAGATTATTATAAGACCTCAAAATCATAATTTTTCTAAGGAGACTTTATTTAAATACTCGGCCTTGCTAACTCCCCCAAAGAACAAATTGTGGTATCACCTGGCACCTAAATTGAACATTCCAATTTTACCATACCAACCTTAATGTACATAGGTGTTTATTTCACATTTTAAACCTTCACACAACATGTTTTTCTACATTTCCAATTTCAAACGAAGGAAGATAGTCTTAAGCTAATCTTAATATCAGAAGAGTGCATTAAATGATTCTACAGTAGTTTCCAAACAGAACTTATTAAGAATCTCCCCCGCAAAAATACCTCCTCCTCTTCCCCTAATTTTGTTTCCATTAAAAAAAAAAAAAATCTCCCCTTTATTCGAATAAAATCCAAGATACAATGAAGGCCCAATCGTACCGCCCCTCCCACCTCTCATGAGTACAACAAAACATTGAAATAAACTATTATTTAAGCTCTCAACCAAATAAAAATGCAAACTGAAACAACCTCTCCTTTTCAATGTTTTATTATACAAGGTCGCCTCTGCCAGGGAGGGTCGTTCTGGTGGGTAGTTTCCAGGTTCTTCCCTAGCAGATGCAGCTTGAGTGTTTCAAGCAAAAAGGATAAAAACAAAAGCACACATTTCAAAGGTAGTTATAACATTATCCTGTGACAGTTAATGAATTCTGCCTTTAAAAAAGCATAATGAAAAACACGAACTGGAAATGATTTAAGCTATCTCCTCCTTCTATGAATGATGCAACTGAAGGCCCAATCAGAAAATACCCCTCGCCCCCACAACCCCGTGAAAAAGCATATTTTAAGAACATTTCTTTTGATTTCTTTCCTTTTCTTGGCCCATCATATATAAAATACTCCCATCTTCACTATGTGATAATTCATCGAATCAAAGTTTGTGCGGTTTTTTTAATGCATGTTAGACTGCAGTAAAAAATGTTTTTCAAATAGCCTGCATTATTAACTAAAAATAAAGAAAAAAGATGTTGTCAGGAAAAACAGCATGAAATCGGTTTCCATGCTGCTTACACCCCCGCACTACCTGCAACCACTTTACAGAACGTTAGCATCAGACCCGCTTATCTAAAATCCTGTCAAATGTCCTCACAGTCTCCCCCACTGCCTCGCTGGCTTCTGGGCAGCCAGGGACCAGCCCTCCATGGCTTCCAACATCTGCAGCCTGGAGGACTGAGAACCTTGTTTGCCCCGCTGCCTCGAGAGGGGGCAGCGGCCGGGTCACCTGAGTAGCATACCCGAGACCACAGGGAGCGCATCCGGGCGGGAGGAGCACCCGGTCCTGGGCAGACGCCTGGCCGCCCAGGCTAATCTGCTTCTGCCAACGGGTGACACGCCGATTTTGCCCCCTAAGAACGCCAAGAGGCGCGAAGCTGGGCCACCTTTCCCGCGGGCTGCAGCGGCGCTCGCGCGCGTTTCCCAGAACGCAGGGCGCGCGCGGAGGCCGGGGCAACCCCAGAAGCCCGCTCGGTTTACCCTAACGACCCCCATGCCGACTGCTCCTCGAGGACGAGGACTGGACCCCCAGCCCCCCCTCAGGCACCTCCATCCCAAATACACCTGCCGCCCACCCTAAGCCACCCCCCATGTGTACCCACTCACCCAGGTCGCCCCAAGAAAGAACCCTGCCACTCGCACAGAGAGGGGTGCGGCCCTTGGATGCACGTCCAGACGATCCCGGGCCGGTGAAAGGGCATTTATCTCAGCTCTGCGCCATGCCCCTTCCCCCCACGCTTCGAGGACCGGTTGCCCTGGGGCCGTCGGCCCGGCCCGCCCCCACCCCCCCGCCCCCCAAGCAGGAACCCGAAGCCCCGGGGCGCCCGCCACGACTCTTGGGGAGGATACCTTGAGGCCGTTGTAGTTGGGTTGAGAGCGTCGCCGCTTTCCGGTTCTGCGATCTTCCCTGGAGAGAGGGTTCCCCTGCGCAGTCCCTCAGGCCGGGACTCCGTTCACCCGGAAGCCGCCGGCCGCCGCTCCATCGGGAAGTGGCCGGCCGCGCACAGGGCGCACTGCGGAAGGCGCCGACGCGCACGAACCCGCGCGTCGCATGCACGCGTCTCACGCACGCGCGCGCGCAGGGGGCGGCATGTGCGATAAGCGCACCGGTGTTTTCCAGCGCGAGCGCACGCAGGGCGGTGCACGTGCGGATAGGCGCACGGTTCCGCACGCGCACGCAGGGCGTGCACGTTGCGAAAGGCGCACCGGTTCCACGCACGGCGCACGCAGGGCGTGCACGTGCGAAAGGCGCACCGGTTCTCACGCACGGCGCACGCAGGGCGTGCTTGTGCGATATGCTCACCGGTTCTCACACGTCGAGCGCGCATAGCGTGTGCATGGAATGTGCACAGCAGTCCTCACACAGCGCGTACGGGCGTGCACGCGTCCTTACACACTGCTGTACACAGTGCACACACAGAAGGCGTGCGTACGCACACAATTCTTCATACGATGCTTACATGCAACATGCACACACAACGTGCACACTCAGCATAAATGCACCTTCTCACACAGTGCAGATACACTCAAAGCATGTATAGATGTGGGGTGCAGTTTCTCACCGTGCACACATCCTAACACAATGTGTGAACACAGAGCACACAACGCGCACATACATGCTCAGTACGCACACGTTTACACACACTGGGTGTCTGCATGCAAACTCAGCAATGCAGCCTTGGAAACAATTTCTGGCTAGGCCCACAGGTGGGTGCCAGTTGGGCTAGTGCCACCCGTGCAGACGCCGGAGGACCCGCCCTCCAAGCACAGTTAGGTTCCAGTTTTCGAGGCGCACGGGTAATCAGTGTTTAGTGACGCCCCACCCTCAGCGTGCGGTCACCCAGAGAGGGACAGCAGCAGGTTATTGGAGTCGACCTTCAACGAAAAGGCAGCTGCACGCGCCGTAGGCCGACCTAGGCCTTTCAACCACACCCCACTCCGCAGCCAATTTGTTTCCTCTTCTGAGGCGAAAATAATGCTGACTGAAACCTCCATGAGGCCGGGCGTGGTGGCTCACGCCTGTAATCCCAACACTTTGGGAGGCTGATGCGGGCGGATCGAGCTAAAGAGTTCGAGACCCCTGTCTCTACAAAAAAAATTTAAAAATTAGCTGGGCATGGCGACGCTTCTGTGGTCCCAGCTACTCGGGAGGCTGAGGCGGGAGGATCGCTTGAGCCTGGGAGGTTGAGGCTGCAGTGAGCCATGATCACGCCACTGCACTCCAGCCTGGGCAACAGAGACCTTGTCTCAAAAGCAAAACAAAACAAAAAACCTCTGTGGGGAGGCTCTCTCCGAGAAGACACACAAGAAACTGCTAAACGTGTTGCCTCCCAAGTAGGCACTTTTACCACTGCCATGCACATTTACTATCTTTTCAAAAACATTGAAAAAGACATCTTGGCAGGGCCAGCTCAAGCCTCCTGTTTACCCAGGCCTGCCAAGTGATAACCCGTTCCCATGGAGCCCCAGGCTGCACGTTTTTCTTGTTGGAAGGTGACGAGCCTGAACGTTTTATTACCACCCCTGGGGGGAGATACACACGATTAAAAATGAAGCTGAATAATGGGTACAGGTTTTCTTTTTTGGATGAAAATGTTCTAGGATTATGGTGAGTGCATAACTAAGTATACTAAAAACTATTGAATCGTACATTTTAAGCGGGTGAATTTTATGGTCTCTTAATTATACCTAATTTTTTTTTTAATGTGAAGCTGAAACTCTCAGGAATGGGCACCTTTACTCTTGGCCAAAGCTGGGTAACAGTCCCTTTGTGGCACAAAAAAAATTAGTGATGAACGTGTTCCTGACACGCCCAAACGTGTGCCGGGAGTAGGGTTTGAGTGTGGTGAGAAAGCCAGCAAAGTTTAAACATAAATGAGTAGGAGAGTGAGCAGGTTGGGGCTGGTACCCTGAGCTGTCATGAAAACTCAACACAGAGATTAAGCCAAATAAGAGCGTGAGAGCTGTCACTTTCTCCTTCTTTATCTTAGGGACCTTTGGTGAGTTTAATTCATCCAACTCTTGAGCTCATGGACACGTGTGTGTAGCATCCCTCTCTACTTTTATTCTATTTTTGGGGTCTTTTTACTTTCCATTCCTCTCCCTAATTATAAACACCTCCTCTGATATCTTTGCAGCTGCAATTTTGAAATACTGTTGTGAAGATATGCATGTATTTTAAATGTATATAAATGATATTGCATAAAAGCTATCATTCTATTTGTTTTTCCTCGCTTGGCACTGTTCTCAAGATCTGCACAAAACGATTAGCCATTCTATCTGGTTTACCCTTCTGTAAATTGCCTGTTGAATCCTTGCCCACCTTTCCACTGGGCTACTCTGGTTGATTTCGTTTCTTGTATTCTAGATAATTTCCGGTTTAAATGTTGCAAATATTTTATCCTAGCCAACTAAGCTTTTTAAGATCGGTACAATTTTCCTTAATTTTTATGACAAAATCCTATTAACATGTTTACTCCATTTATAATATTGCCCTATTTTTTAATCAATTGTTTTGAGAGTAAGTTACAAGTACTTCCATGTGTTTCCTAAGATTATGTTCTATTACACATACTAGAGTTAATTACCAATTTAAGTAAGTTTAACATGGATACAATAATTTTCTCTCCATTGGCTGTTCCTCCAACGTAGAGGTAGTTTTCCTCTTGCAATAAGCACTCTGTAGGGAGGCACTTTAAGGTTATGCAGGTACTTACTCTTCGTCAAAAATTCTCTCTAGATTTAGCATCCATTGATGGTTCTTGCTTGATCCGATCTCATGACGGTTACGAAGTGATAAAATCCATAAATTTTTCACCTTATGGTTTGCATTTTAAGAAGTCTTAATACAAACTTCCCTAGTCCCAAGATGCTCCCCATTGCTCTCAGGCTTATAGTAAAAAAAAAAAAAAAAAAAAAGGTAAAAAATGCTTTACTCTCAAGCAATTTTTCTGTACTAGCGTGAGGTAAAGATCCAAATCCACTTTTCTCTCCGAAGTGTAGTTTGGTCAGCACTACCTGCTTACCTATCCTTTCCCCAGTAATTTTTGAAGCCACTTTAAAAAAAATCAAGTATCTAATTGCCATAGTAGGTGAGCTAGATTCTGAGCTATCTATTCTGATCCTTCTGTTACTCCATCCATTATTTACTACTATGGCTTAGGGTGCAACTTATCTGTTGAATTCCCTCTTGGCAGTGTTTTTAGAATTCTTTGAAATTCAGTATTTCCAAATGAATATACTTTAGGATGTTTTTGCTATCTCCCACCAAGGCCTGCCGTAATACTACATGTAATTATATTGAAGTCAGAGGTTAATTTGGAGAAAATTGACATTTTCATAACATTATGACACTGTCCAATAATGTAATTTATATTTAAGCTTTGAAAGAAAATGACTTTCGAGTTTCCCACGCTTTTCCCACTACACTAACTTCCTACAAAAATCTTTAGTATGGCCGGGCGTGGTGGCTCACCCCTGTAGTTCCAGCACTTTGAGAGGCCAAGGAGGGGAGATCACCTGTGGTCGGGAGTTGAGACCAGCCTGACTAACATGGGGAAACCCCGTCTCTACTAAAAATACAGTTAGCTGGGCATGCTAGCGCATGCCTGTAATCATAGCTACTCAGGAGGCTGAGGCAGGAGAATCACTTGAACCCGGGAGGCGGAGATTGTAGAGAGCTGAGATCACGCCATTGCACTCCAACCTGGGCAACAAGAGCAAAACTCCATCTCAAAAAAGAGGTTTTTGGCCGGGCATAGTGTCTTACACCTGTAATATCAGCACTTTGGGAGGCCAAGGTGGGAGAAGCACTTGCATCCAGGTGTTGGAGACCAGCCTCGACAAAATTGTGAGACCCCATCTCTAAAAAATAAAAACAAAACATTCCGGCATGGTGGTGCACACCTGTAGTCCCCATTGCTTGGGAGGCTGAGGTAGGAGGATCACTTGAGCCAGGGAGGTTGATGTTGCAGTGAGCTGTGATATGGTGTCATTGCGTTCACCCTGGGCAACACAGCAAGACCCTGTCTCTAAATGAATGAATGAAAGAATGGCTGAGTGCAGTAGCTTACATCTGTAATCCTAGCACTTTTGGAGGCCGAGGCAGGCAGATCACTTGAGGTCAGGAGTTGGAAACCAGCCTTGCCAATATTGTGAAACCCTGTCTCTACCAAAAATACAAAAATTATCCGGGTGTGGTGGCAGGCGCCTATAATCCCAGCTACTCAGGAGGCTGAAGAGGGAGAATCTCTCGAATCTGGGAGGCAGAGGTTGCAGTGAACTGAGATTGCACCACTGCACTCTAGCCTGGGCGACAGACTCCGTCTCAAGAAAAAAACAAAAAAATCCCATTGTTAGATTCCTAAGACAGGTTTAAAATCATAAATATGTATTAAATGTTGTCAAATCTGCCAAGTCCAGTTAATTTTGTATCAGACAGCACAGAAATCAGCAATGGGACCTGACTCAGATTTTGTCCCTACTTTCTGATCTACCAACATCAAGTTGTGAACTGAACAAAACAATGGATTGGAATGGCAGTACAGACTGGGCTTTTAAAAGTGGGTAAGTTGACCAGAAGTGTAAGTATTTACTTCACCTATAGGTCTCTGCATCGTATAAAGTAAGGTCTGTTGAATGTGACTTTGGCAATCTGAAGTCACTCTGCTGAATTGACTTACCGTTAGAAAATGCCTTTTCAGCACAGATTTGTGACAAATTCACTTGCTG